CATTGATTTTTCATAGTTTGACCTTGAAGATGCCAGGAGTTCGCTACACAACACATAAAAACAGCGTTTTCTGGGGGATATTGATATCCCCAGCATTTCCGTCAACCTTATGTTCTAGCTGAACCCAAATCGCACGAAATTGGCGCAATACACTTATTTGCAAATCACTTTGGTTTTCACGAGAGAATCAACTGTTAAGGCTTGTTTAAAAAAGTCTGAAACTTGACACCTTTCACAGTATAGGAGGTTTACTCGCTAGCACTCGCCGGAGGATAATGCTCGGATAAATTCCCTTTTGAAGTTCATGGGATCTTTGCATCCCGAGTTCATTCACAGATTCTAAGCACATTCGACCTATTAAAGTTACCGGTTCATCCGTCTACAAGACTCAGTATTTCCCCGACAGGTTTACGCAGGTTTTTTTGTCTGAAAGCTGGACAAGGAACGTAAAAATTCAATTTGGTATTATGGATCTAGGTGAGGTTACTTTTCAAATGGCATTTTTCCGACTTGTTCTTATCCAGACAACAAAAACATCTCTCATTTTCTCCTCGTCTATCAAATCGATCATGATTTCCGTTTTGGCATCAATGGGGGACCTCAAGCTCTCACGTGAATAACATTCAAAACCATAAAAAATTTCGGTTCCCTCATTTTTTCACATCATGTCGGTAGCAAGCCAAATCTTACGAACTGGTCGCCGGTCGCTCATCGTTCCCATCTTTCGTTAACTCTCACACAGTGGGAAATTGTGCCAAGTTGTATGTGCCACATTTGTATTACAAAGTGGATCCACTTGGGATAGTACTTATATTATCCAGGCTGCTTTCACTCCCAGAGCCCAAATTGAAACAAAACTGAGAGGTGAAGTCCCACACCACTGGTTGGTTATGAAATAACCCCCGATATGCCGATGAAACAACGCTGATGTGAGAAAGCTTGGAAGCATAGTTATTATTCACCTCGGCAGCATCGTACAACACATTCATTCACCGACAAGCTGGCGACGGGAGGTTAATTGCCAGAAGCATTGGGTAGGATCTGTTTAACAAAGTAGTGTGCTTTTGTGAGAGTACTTCGGTCTTGAGGGACACTGTTCAATGTTTTTGCGCTGAATGAAGGCCCACAACTTTGAAAACACCAGTCTTGCACTCCTGGTTGATCAGCTTTCTCGTATCTAGTAGAATTGAGCGGTCGGACGTCCCATTGCCCCTATCATCATTTCGGAAGCTGTTGTGGTTACACAGTTCTTTTGTTGTGGGTTGGGAGTCACAATGACAAAGCGTAATATGCCTCTGACCCACGGCATCACTCGAATGACACCACTAAAAGATCCATATGCGATTTTCAGGTGATTTCACAGTGGGTGAACATGCGTGTACGTTGTCCATCGATCAGAAAAGTAGCTTCTGTTAGTCAGATGATGCGTTTTTTTTAATGTTTGCGTCATCGACTGACTGCAACAGCACATACTTTCCTGCTGTAGTCTGTTTCATTTAGCTTCCTGTTAAACGCCCCTAAATCGCGATCGATAACTGAGTAGTCTTTATCTGCACAAGGGAGTCATGCAGTTAGATCTGTGTGACTGCACAGTGATGTCTGTTTCGATCGCCGCTAACGTTCTGTCTGTTAACGCTAGATAGGAAACAAATTTGAATGTCACCTCAGTGGGTGATGATGCGAACCGATCGATGAACGTGGCATAACTGTAGGGCGATTGGTTTCATTGCTATCTAAATTACAGTTCCTTCAGCTGGTTTTCAGATTGGCTTACGACCGGTTTCGTTCACCTCTGGGCTCATTACTCATTCGCAACTTTGTCAGTACCGCAAATATTTCAGTTGATTGGCGATGAAAATGTCTTGAGCTGAATCGGAGAGAACACTGAGAAAAAAACAGGTGGTCTTATTGTCGTTTCGCACTGTGTTTCTCTAAGCATTGGAGCCGGTTTTCTAGGTTGTGAAGACATCTGGTTCATGATGTCTGATTTTCTTCGGGTGGAGTGCTTTTTTCCCTAAAGTCTAGGTTAGTTTAATGCCAAATATTTGTGAGGTAGACAGCGCATAGCCTAGAACAAGCTAGCGAGTAGTCGGATTCGGTAGAACGTGTCACCCAGCTTGTCACTCATTCACATAGTTTCACGTATGTGTGACACACGAACAGTGGTTCGAATGTCACGCTCCCCCGACAGATGTCAGTCACCGTCTCAAACATCCGACTGCAACAGATGACAGAAGAAACGCCACTGATCCTTCAAATGGCCTTTCATCGTGCATGCAGACACGTATTGGCACAGCACTACTGAATTCCAGTGACAGGATGGAACCAGCATGGCCGGTATAGACTTGTCTCCACTACGTCTACTGAATTACCCTCTTCATACTTCGACTCCAGCGCTCAAGGTGTGTTAGCTGGCAGGCAAACGAACAACAAAGGTCAGGCACACAACAGACGGTGTCGAGAACTGGTGAACATCCACTCTCTCATCCCCCATCACTTGAGGGCGATATATTTCAAACGGCAACAGGGTCTAAATACCAGTTTGATACAGTAAAGTGTTGAACACACACACATATGGCGTTCTGTATTAATCAACACAGGGCAGTCTTCGTTAGGCTGGTGGTCAGTGGCACCATAGTTTCTGGTAACCTTGACCACGGCATTCCGAAAGTGGTGGGAGCCATGAAGTTTGAGCGACAAATGCACGTCCCATCAGAAAATGCACTTCGAATCGCTCGCAAACACACACACGGATCTGATAAGTTGGGTGTTGAACTCAGATTGAAAACACTCCACTACTCGGCTCAATGAATATGCGGTGCAGTTACTGAGTTTTCGCGTGTGCTGAATCATATTCCACTTGTGTTCCGTTCTGTGGGGCGAATAGACCGATACCAGCGTATTCATACCAGCTAAAAAGGAAATCATGAAGCACTGTGGAAAACTCTGTGATCCGGTGGGTACATTTGGGTACCATACAAAGTAGTGCTTTGGTGTCGAAGCGCCTGACAACTAGCGAATGAAGTAATACACTACCCGAAAATTCGGTCTGTCTAGAGACCTGAAGATAACACGGTATTAGCTCTAGAAGGATTTCAGTAGCAGAACTGAGAAAGAATAAATCTACTGAAGAAAAGATGATGAAATCATTGTATTTCCTTTTGGGAACAGTATGCTCTGCCCGAAATTCTCTCTCCAACCCGTGCCAGGTTCAGTAAAAGTACATGATTTAAAAGTAAACTGTCTCGTCGTAAAACAGTTGTCCTGAACAAGTCATTTGCTTATCAAAAACAGGCTGCAAATCAACGTAGAATCACATACTTTATTTGATGGGGCTAGCGATTACACACACTAGAAGTTGTCCAGAAAAAATGACTTTTGTGTTGCTTGTTTAAACTAGGTGACAAATTTAGGCCACCCACAGTCGGTAATCATCACTCAGGTGACAAAGTCAGGCTTCGAAGTGTTCCTGAGCACAACGTCAGCTCTGGGGGATTCGTCCGGGAATAGAAGGACATATGGCAACAGCTGAATGATAGGGAGCCAACTTGTCACAACTAAGATTGCTGACACCAATGAAGTCAAATCCCGAAAACGCCACCGCTGGTGACCTTTCGTTCTGATTGAGGCTGGTGAGAACGGCGTGGAACGGGGTGGTCACATGGCTCCGTGGCTAGCAGCTATAGGCAGTCGGTGGTCGACGTTCCATTAGATCCATGATTTATTCTCATTAACTATTAATTCTGACTGAGAGATCTGATAAGTGATGAATCGTCACCTGGTGACGTTCCGTCCTGCTTTGTTTCACAGCAGAAAGATTAGTGATGGAACGTTTGGAATCATATGCTACAGCTCAGAGAACAAGCCATACACAGAACACTAAGACTTCTGCAAAGAAACTAATGTCACTTCCTGTCTCTTCAGAGAGAAACAGGTACGAACACAGCCTCCTCACGTTCCTAATGAGGGTTTTAAGAAAAACATCATGGGTTTTAATAGTCCTAACAAGCCACAGTAATCAGGTGACCTGATTAAATACGGGTTCAATCAGAATCGGTCTTTGTGGAAAGCTAAACTGTCTTTGGAATACGCACAGAAACAGATTAACGGTTCGCAGTGTTAGTAATAAAAACAGTCCCACTTTACAGAACATACTCGTTTATAGAAGTACACTGATTGCAACAAAATTTGGTTTTGCGAGAGACCCACCTGGTACCCAGATGAATCTCTCGTTTGTGACGTGTCCAGGCCATTGAATGTAGTGCACCAGGCCGCCTCATGTTCCAGTTACTACGATATTCGAGATATCGCGATACATGTATAGACGTAGTGAACTACTCATAAAGTTGCTGAAACTTCTCCGACAGCCCACGACTGGTTCCTCCCTTTTTGGGGCTCATCAGATAGGCGCAGTACCCGAGTTTCCATCAACCATGCGTGATAGACAAAATACTGCGATACATCGAATTACCTTACCTACTGGAAAGTAAGACGGCCTTCGTGCAGCACATTCAATTAAAAAAACATCATGAAACAGAGATTCGGCTGGGAATTAATTGAGTTACCAGTAAGTACGTGAAGACTGGGCTGAATTGTCGAAGTATGATGTACGCGTTCCGAATGTTCCATTGAACGATTAGCGCGGAATGCCGCATGAAAAGAACTGGAGTACGTGAAGACTGGGCTGAATTGTCGAAGTATGATGTACGCGTTCCGAATGTTCCATTGAACGATTAGCGCGGAATGCATCCCGTAAAGAAACATTCACGATTCAAGACACAAAAGGCCAGATGCAATGGATAAAGTACGGCTGCAAGGGCGAATGCCAGCAACCTTAGACAGGAGACAAGTCAAAGCACTGAAGTGTGGGCTTGATTTTCACGGTTGAGAGCTCACTGGATGAATGAACGTATTGAAGCGCAGTATATGGCGGAAATGGTGTTCTCGGCCATCAAAGGTACCCACAGCTGACTGTAATTTCCCCATCAATGCTTCATCGAAAGGAAGATGAACCTACAAAGTGGTACGATTATAAGCAATATCACTAGAATACGAGAAAAAACTGTGGCTGGAATGCGTCATCTCCGCTGAGTGGTCTGCTAGATCATTCGAACTGAGTCCACTGGGTTTTTCACTTTGAGTCGTGTGAAACTTACAATTTGCAAATGCGTGCCTCAGAGCACACGGAATTTGAATATGAAAATAACGGAGGCACACCTTGACACCATTGAGTCATTTGACTCCGTTAGAAAAGTAACTGTTGAGTTGGAAAGTGTGTTGAAGTATCCACACGTAGATTTTAACCCCTTCTCCTAGACCGATATATTTCCGATATACACTTTCGATAAAATTGACCCGTTTTAGTGCCCTTGGTTAAACAGATCCGTAATTTTGTTAGTTATCGTCCATTTGAAAGCTGTAGAAAATTATAACATCAGTTTTTTTACTCTTTTCTCACTTTGACAACGAATAACAGCTGTCGATTCCCCAGATCAGTGAGCTGCTGCCCATTCGTTTCCATGAATTTCTCAAGATGCTACTTTTTTTTTACATGTTACTGACATTGTATCAGTAGCTTGTATATTTTAAGATTGTGATTTGACTGTCATATACCCACAGTCGGTCGCGCTGGGAAATTCGCACCCAGGTAGCCGACATGCTTGCGATTGCCTAAAAAACACATTTCGGAAGGTGACTAATCATACTACAGGGCTGTTCCGCCACACAAGTTTGTTCCAGTGTCCACCATTTACACAGTTTTTCAGTATTTCATTTACGTACCCAAAAATAAGTGGTCCGCTTAATGTCATTTAAAGTGGTTTGAGGTTAAAACAGTGCACGTTGAGTGCAGTCAGTCTGAGGCTCTGTGTCGATCCCACCGTCAGTTGTACTGATGAGTTCTGCCAGACATGGTAAAAATGGTCTAGTGTTATGCCGAATGCCAAATTTCGGGCGGACATATAACCTTGTAGCAGTAATATGACGGTTTTTTGAAATAAATATCGATTTTTTGATAATTCACCAAACTACACCATGGGAAAAACAAGAATAGTGACCGTGTAGGTTCTCTAAGGGAGAGACTAACTTCGAAAGGGTGAAATTCAAGAGGCAGAAGCTGAATAGCCTAGGGGAAGAAGTCGCAACTGGGCAAACGAGGGAGAAATATCTGAAGAACCGAAACATTTACTTGGGGTGCCCTTTTGCCGTCAACAAGCATTCTGTATCATCGAAACTGATTACGTCACATAAACTTATCTTATTCTGATTGTCGGAGTGTGTCCAGGTAGTAGATACATTACAAGGTCATGGGGGTTCGGGTGACAGGAGCTGACGAACACCACAGAAGCTTATCACAACTGCACAGTCGCGACCTACTCTCCTGAATGTCTCAAGTAATCATGCTGAAGTCACTCACAGGACCTGAGTTTTTATTAAGCACTCCAGCAGGCTTCGTAGATTGATCGCATATTTGTGCAAACAGCCTCAACTACGTGGACTGACGATAACCATACCACTTACCCAGATTTTCAGCAAACCATTCATACTACTCATACCTGGAATCAAGTAGAATTTATGGACGATACAAATGATGTCCTGGAGTGGTCTGCCTTCTGCTCATCATGCTAAAACACATCAATGTTTTTAACAGAACACAAGTGTTTTCATTCGCCTTGACGTTTTAGGAATAACATGTGCACATGAGCTCAAAAGTATGCTGTGTGCCTTTTTCATCATCATTCGTCGAGGTATGTCGATTATCCATGAGGTGATCAGTATTCAGCTTCTGTGACGTTTTTGGGTTGCATGCGCAGGTGGTCACAAGAGTGGTAGGATGATAGGATAGCGTCATTATGATTGAGCAGGTTTTCTCAACATCAAATCACGAGGCACATGGTTCTGGGTAAGCCAACATGCCGCGAATTAGCGAGCAGCTGACTGGAGCATGTAGACGGTTTGGTCTGCTCAAATAAGTAAGTGGTTTTCATCTTCCGAGGGTGACTTTAGATGCAAAGCTCTATAAAATGGTGGAAATTTCTCCTATCGGATAACCGAAGCACAGTGATAACAAATGTGGTGCCCCCTCTTAAAACGCTTCCCCTTCAGGAGGGACATATCCTCTCAAGTAAGACCATATCACTCCGGTCCCATGAGAGATTGTTCGGCAACTTTCAACAAAGATCACTGTAGAAGTCCTTGAGAAACGCTCCCTCCCAAGAAAGATCAAAATACACTATTCCTGTTTCGTATTCCCTCCATTAACACACCAAGAAAACACGCAAGTAACCGCAGTTTACAGGTGTTATTCCAACGGAGTCAGACTATTCAAACATGCCTTTCAGCTGTCCAAACCTGAAATGCTGCAGTATTCCCACGACAAAGCGTTATTTTTTGAGTCACTTCTACCCAGCGGGAAGCATGATAGCTCTCACAGTCATCTGAAGTTAACAAGATATATCATAGTACCTGGTGGAATGTAAAAATCTGACAAGCTAATTATCATCGAAAAGTCAAACTTAGCGCGAGACAAGCAGAAATTTCCGAAGGTCACCCACGGCTTTTCTGACCTTGGTTCTTAATCTTTTTAGCTCGTCATCACTTAGAGCACGGGGAAGGCACCATCGCCCCCAAAAGTTAGATATAACATCTGGTAAAAGTAGGGACAATGGTTGAAAAACATTTTAAAAGCATAGTGATGTAAATGATCACACATAAGAGGGTTTTCTTCGAACAGAAATAACTTCTTTGGAGGAAAATGTCGGTAGCTCAGGTAGCGAAGATGGTCGTTGGCTTGTTTTCTGAGCTGGGCAATTTGATTGCAAACGTTTCATCACCAAGCGAGGTGGTGCGGAGCGGTGGGTTAGTGGTTGTTACGCACCGCCACGCTTCCCAAAAAAACGCACTGAAGATGTCATCTCGATTGGTGATGAAATGTTTGCATTCAAGTTGCCCAGCTCAGCGAACAAGCCAACTAACAGAAATAACTTTCCTGAACATAACACTAACCCCAGTAGGACGGGATGTGTTATGCGATCCCTACGAAGGACGATCATCCTCTCGAGAACTTCACCGCATACACTCGGTGATACTGGTCGTTTGGAGATAGCCTAAAGTCACTCTTCCTACATTCCACATATTGTCGTTGATGTAGTTTGACCCTGCTGTTATGCTAGCACCCTTTGCAGCGATTTCAAACCAAGGGTTTTTAATTTTAGATATTTTAAAGTGTCAAAGCACACTTTATTGCTCACTCGGTGGGAGGGGGATCCGACTACACTTCAGCAGAAGTGCTTGGCCATCTACTATGGTAATACGAGACTCATCTGAACACCTTTCTTCATCGGACACGGCAGATAACGAACCTTGAACTCACTCTGCAACAAGTACGCGGTCATTACAGCTGACCTTGAACTTACTGCTGAAATGGTTCACTGTACAGCCAAAGCGGTCCTATAGAAGCCCACTCTATACATAGAGATTGGCGTAAATTAGCCAGAGGCGTGCATCGACGGTTTAGTTGCAAATCAAAGTGTGAATTATTAGCACTGAACAGGCTTACACCACCTGAGTTTGGTGACACGTGCTTAGGACCTACGATGTACAGCTCCAACGCAGCAGACAAATATGCATGTGAACACTGTCTCATACGATAATGCAGTGAGGCCTAGAGTGAAGTTGTGAGGATGACAACTCAAATCGGAATTTCGGTAGGGCTGTCAGTTAATCGCAAGTATACAAGAAGCCACTTTCATCTAAGTAAGGAAACTATGCAGTTCCGCTCAACTTCAACCAGAGAACACGTGCATATATCTCATTTTTAGAAACAGCGCGTAGATTGGACAACAAAATGGCGATCGTCTGACATCCGATGGGACCGAACCCGGGTGAAGGAGACCGTAGCTAGTGACCTCTTTTCGCTCTACAGAGGTGTGATATTGCAGAACTCACGAGGTAAAATGAGGGCAGCGCAGTGGTCCGAAAGATGTTATGATTAGAAAAGAAGGCACACACTGCACTCTCGGCTTACTGCTGGAGTCCCCCACTCACGACTTCTGGACCGGATACGACAGTGGAAGTTGAATCTCAGGTCCGATACTACTGAAATTCGTAGCTGAAATGATTCGTTCCATCGTATACGAAATATGGGATATCTTACTGTGATTTTCCAGGCCTACGCTTAATATTTTCCACTCACCTTTTTAAGGATATTAGAAACTATCGATTGTGTCCCATACTACTGAAGAGCTGAGAGTAGCTTCATTTTAGGAAGAAAGGGATTTTGGAGACCACTTTAATACCAATTGATGCTGGGTAATTAAAATGTTTAGGAGAAATGATGACTTTCTATGGATGACGCTCCAACCAAATAAGTTTTATTTGCACTCTCGCAAGGGAATTTCGGAGAACTAGAAAAAGTGCGCCATTTCCCTTCCCATTCAAGTAATTCATGATAGATTGGAGAAAGTTGGAAATTCTCAATTGATTTTCCTGCCCACAAGTAAAGTTAATCTGTGCCGAGAGGCGGGAAAGCGCCGTACAGCGGTTTCATCCTGGTTGAGAATCATTAGCACTGTGCACATCCCAAATCTCCAGGACAGATCGACCCAGCGATCGACAATGTGACCAACTTTCATTTCATCCTCACCCTTTGGTTCTCAGCCATCGGATACACATCACTTGGTCACATATCGATTGGCCCTTCAAGCGAAGGCTATTCAAACGGGTGGTTCATTCTTTTGTCTTCTACTTATAGAATGTGGATGGTATGCGAAGATCTGAAATTCTTCATTAGGCTTTCTTTCTATAAACTACAGAAGGGGCTTCCAGCCGACACCAAGCAGGGGTACTATTCGACTCAAAAAAGTTTAGAAAAACAGTCGATGATTTGGTTACTGGGCGTGGTGAAGCGTTCACGCCAGCTTTCTTATGCCAGTTACCCAAGTTATAATGCTGACAGAATTTTAACGCAAGCCGAGAACCAGTCGGTATGTGCTTCAAACGGTTATTTATGGGAGAACCCACGCTTGACTGTGAGCACATGTCAGCCCAAGATTCCTCGAGAAAAATACACGAGACTTCAGCATTTTTCGTCTTCCACAGTAACAGGAGTGGGGTCTCGGAAAATTAAAAGAATGACGCAGTCATAACGACCAGATTTGCAATCAAATAGCATTTTCATAAAGGAAACAACTCACAAGGTTGTTGAAAACTCTTCGACAGCCCACGACCGGTTTCGCCCTTCCACTTCGGGCTCATCAGGTAGGCGCAGTCTCCGAGTTTCCGTCAACCTTATGATCTACTTGAATCCAAATTGCACTGTTTTCGAGAGATACACTCATTTGCAAACCAATTTCGTTTTCACAAGAGACTCAGCCGAATCTCCCGTTTATGATGTGCTGCACACAGGCCGCCTCATGATTCAGTTGGCATGATATTCGAGATACAGCAGTATATTTTCACAAAGGAAATTACTCACAAGTTTGATGAAAACTCTTCCACAGCCCACGACCTGTTTCGCCTTTCTTGGGGCTCCTCAGGTAGGGGCAGTCCACGAGAAGAATATCATAAACGAGAGATTCAGTTGAGACTCTCGTGAAAACCAAATTGATTTGCAAATGAGTGCATTTCCCGAAAATCAAATAACATGTTCAGGAAAGGAAATCCCTAGTAATTTTACATATTGTTTTGTCAGCAAATTTTTCAGACAAACAGATTTGGCGAAATTCGCCTAGCACAAGGGTGAATTGAGGCTAACGGACACACCAAGTGAATCTCAGATGGGTCGGTTAGAGTTGGCCACAAATGAGAGATTCAGGCGGAATTCAGTTCAATCTCTTTTCGAGAACCTACCAAATGACCGTGATTTGTCAATTGCTTAAGATCTGGTGTTTCAGAATAACAAGATTTCGACGAAAAATCGGAGACTGTGCTGACCTAATGAATTTGATTAGCCTCACGGTGGGTGGGACGGACGAAGCCGGCTGCAGGCTTCCGAGCAATAACCCCACAAGCACTGTGTTTCGACAATCAGAACAAAGTTGCCTGTAGTATAATAGCTGTGCTTGAAACAGCGGAAACTCAAGAAACATGTGAGATCCACATAGCAGACTTGGTTAAGTGGTGGCCGTTTGGAGCAGTTGGGACTTCCACCATCCAGTCCTACATCTCGAGGCGGAACGCCAATCTTGGTCACCTAACTGATCAGTGAGTTTGCTTCATTGAAATGTTCCTTTTATGATGACGAGCCAATGGAGAAATGTACTGGATGGGTTTGTAACCAGAGTATCAGGTTACGAAACGTGAAACCATAATTTTTTCAAAATCCTAATCCGGTCCGCGATGCCCGTGTGTTAAAATGTCGGGTAACCAAACTATCCGAATACCATACCATACTATAATACTACTATACTATCCGAATGCCAAGGCAGCATAGCAGTTTGAGAAAGCCAAGAATGTGATACAGCTGGAATATGAAAGATGATCGGTTTGATTTCAATACTCGTTCTTCTTCAAGAGTGACGCAAAGTGAAGTCACGTGACCATCAATAACTCATCTGAATGCTCCCGTTACGTCACTTTATATTTGTGTGATCAACTCCTTGTTTAGCTGGGTTCCTGAGTAGTGTTTTCTGCATGACGGAGTACTTTCGAGCATTCAAGTGTGGATTCTGATTTGGATTGCTAGAGGTCAGCGGGCTGTTGCTGTTGATCGTTCCTACTCAGTATTTGGGACTTCTACGAATGACGATGCTGAGTCCCAGTGAGTCTAACAAGGCGCTAATTCGGTAGGGGTTTGAACTAGTTTGTAGCATAGAATCGAACATACGCGGTAAAAGCTTGTCCCAGGCCTTGATGGCTCTTCTGGAAGGAGTTTCGGAATGGAGCATATTCACAGAGGAATGTGTAACGACCGTTTCGAATTCTTCAGCAACGAGCACCAAGGTTAGCGACCAAACCGGCAAAACTCCGAACGAATGGCTTCGCAAATATGCTATACTATAAAAATGAAAGTAGTTACACGGAATACAAAATTACAGATCTCAACGGTCTTCGACAAACGGTGAGGTACTCCAAAAGGCAAGCGAAGGCGATATGGATCAACAGCTTACACGTGATCGAAAGCCGCCCGCAAATTCATGCATTAAAGCAAATTTACAGTTAACCAAGGTTTTGGTACAAAAATAGCATAACCGTAGCGGTAAAAACAATTTGCGCGGTAAGGAAAACGGAAAATATAAATGTCCTGTGAAACTAAAGATAGGAATCAACTACACCAGTCTAAAAAGGGGCGGTTCATTTGAATTGTTCACCGGGAAGGCAGTCATTCAAGATGGGAGGCAATTCTAAATATATACGAAGCTGCAACAATATGCTTCTGAGTTAAAGTCCAGATGCTGTCTAAATCTGAGTCCTGTGAATGTAGTTGGTTGAATAAAAGCTAAAAGCAACACACTACGTACGCCATTTTGATAGATTCCCGACTAATACCATATGAAATCACAGTGAGCATAAATAAAGCTCCATTGTGTGTGTGTGGGTGGGATTTTGTATGCATTTTCATTGGTGGAAAAATACCATGGCTTAGAAAGCAATTATCAAGAGTTGCATGCCCACTCGTCAGTGGATTTCATACCCTTGTGGTATATGCGGGATAAGGAGCTGCTTCATTCTAAATCGTCATCCACGTTCGATAAAAGCAGTTCAACGCACATCTCGTAAGACTTTTGATTATCCATTGAAGTGGACACCAAGGGACAGGCATCCTGATGACTCCGCGGATCAGAAATAATAAAGGAAAATTTTTATCCTCAGCCGGTGGGTCGCACATTGTCAGCCATGATCGCAATGGTGCAGTCAAAGTAGAAGAATAACTAATGGCATTTGTGTGTACCAAGGACTCCACGGAAATGGGACAGTCGAGCTAATAGCGGACATTATCCGACACACGCGTGCCAAGTATCCAAAAGCAGCGTTCATTGGAAACAGAGAAAAACGGTTATTACGTCTTTCTAACTTGAATGATACATACCAAATAGAAACAAGACTGCTGTGGCGTCTGGTACCTTTATTTTACTTCCATTATAACATTACGTATTTCATCAATTGCATAATCGTTTTTTGTTTGAATATAAAAAACTACAAAAACGCGCACTTGTACAATTTCACAGAATACAAGCGTGGTCACGTGCTTCGACTCACTCTCCTGATTTCGCTCACGCTTTAGCGGTCATTCGCGAGTCTCATGTACTAACTCTGGTATCAAAACATTTCAAACATCTTCGGGATCTATTATGTGTGGAAACTGTTCAGAAGAAGACCTCTGGACCAACGCAATTGGATTATTGTTTATTCGCTGACCTAGACCAACGACGAACTGTTTTAAAGAGAACAATCGTTAGTGAGTCTGTTCCATCTGACCCCTTTATTTTTGTATACCCAACCTAGCGTAATTAGTTTTATTTCTTTGTAACACACTCCTAAAACTAACTTATTGGGTAGCCGGACCACTACACTAGACCGTTGAAATTCAAAGATGGCGGGCAAATACACAACAGGGGAGCCGAAACTAAGGTGTCCCTCCTGGCACAGGATAAGAAACTGGAAACAGCCGAAAATGAGAGATTAGCAAAAGGATCTGAAGAACCAGCAGTGCTACACTGATTCAAATTTAACTAAAACTGTAAACCGTTATTGAGGCTACGTGGCCTTGGATAGCTGGCTTCATGGTCAGAGATAATGAGGTGGCGAAATTCGTAAAGCGGATATATGATGGCTTGAATATCGGAATCATGGGGTGTGGTAAAACTGTATGGACTCATTGATCATGCTGTTGGAGCGGAGTCAAGCGTCAAATTTATCTGGGATAACTTATTTCTAAAATGACTTACTTCAGATACACAGGATGGAGCGCGAACAGTGAAGGAAACGATTTACTTTGTGAGAAAAACAAAACGAAAGTCTATCGAGATGGCTAGATCCAAACAAAGGGTTCAGTAGATTAGAACAAACCCATTACAGAGACGGCTGGGACCAGATAGACAATTTGTTGGCAGTTGCAGGTAAAGGAACAAGTGGCCGACAGGACACAGTCAGGAGCAGGTAGGGAATAGTTTCTGGTGTGCATTAGATTATGCATTTCAGTGCGGTTATATCATTCCACTGACATACCTTGGCTTCTAGAAAACTTCCCAATCGATGTCATGGTTGAGGTGATCGGACTGGGGGTGTATAATTCTGTAGGCACCGGGATTTTGAGTCGGCCGAGGGGACCCAGGTAGGTAGGGGACGCAGGTAGAACAAATTCGACAGGAGGTCATGGTTAGTTTCGGCCCAGCTAGAGATAACAGTAGTGTTTATTCCCAACTAGTGTGTAGCATACCATCAAGCATGAACATACTGTTGCGGTCAGAACGAAAGCATGACTGACGAGCTTTTTAGGTACAGAGGATTGCGCAGAAGAGACAGTGTCATATACAGTGGGCATTATCCGATGTAGACGGTAGATGTAAAGCGCAGACCATCCGAAGTTGGTGTCGACCCTACGTGGCGTTCAAAGCAGGAAGATCAAAGCTTGGAAATAGGAGAGAATGGAATAAGATCAGCAAGGTCTGGTGAGTCTGAGGAGATATCAAGTGGCGAAGAGTCCAGTATTAGAAAGAATAATGACTCAGTTTATAACAGTTAGAGTGAAGACAACAAGTGGCTAAATTGGACAGGACTGAGGTCGATTTATGGTCAGTAGCTCAGCAATACAGGCTATTTCAGCACAAGAATCACAGAACAAATTATGCGGGGAATCGATGTGATACAGAGCATCAAACACATTGGAACTGATTAAAAAAGAACTTTTCGAATAATGGACAAGGACTGGTCTAACCGAAGGTCGCCACATGAACTGAACAGTACCATAGTTTAGGGGGAGAATAAAGGCATGACTATAGGCCACCAGGCCCGAATGTGCGCCATCAGCTTCACTCAAGCAGTGGTGCGTGGCGAAAGAGCCCATAGGCGCTACTTTCGAATGCTAGCGTTTAAGGACTAGAAATGTCGTTATACTTTATTCTGTTTGTAGTTGACCACTCTCGAGTGCAGCGGGAGAGCGTGTGTCGTATATTTGACGAATTGGACTTGGTGAGGTGCAGCCCCGCCTAAGACAAGTGTGACAATAGCCTTGTAAATGCAAGTGAGCCATGGGTGTCGCAGAGTATCTTCAGGCTACCTTGCACATTTTTACCGGACGAGAGGACAGTTTTCTTTCACCTGCAGGTCATAGCCTTGCCAGACAAACAAAACAACCGAGACAAGTCTAACCTAACATCTACAAACGGGCAACGACGGTTCCCGGACCAGGTTCAGAACCATCGGCAATGAGCAAAGCACCCGCGCTACTGGAGAGGTGGCAGTGCAGGAGCGCACCAACGCAACAAGACGACCTCTTATAGAGGATGTACCCGACCATCACACAGTGTTCATGCGTCGTGCATGCTACCAGATCTGTAAGGTAAGGTGGTAAGTCAGCAAGTGATCATAACTGCGGCTTGTACTCCAGTTGCAGGATATTTTTCTGGTTGGGAGAAAGGCCGGGCCAGTAAACAGCAAATAGCTGGTAGAAAAGGCGGGTAATAGAAAAGGCAAAGAAATGGCAGCCAACATCAGGGTACTGAGAATAGTGTAGGATGTTTAGAGAGTGCGCACTATGGCTAAGCGATAACAGGGCGTTCTTGTAAGCTACCATATGTAACAGACGCAACCAAATGTTGTGTATGAGCCTAGTCAGTTGTGAGGCCGAGCACTAATTTCATCCATCGCACATCATCGGACGGACTATTTTTAGGGGCATATAGTGCGTTCTAGGAATAAGAAACTCTGACTTCGGTTTGGTGAACCAGGAACAGATTGTGGCGTAGCTTGGTACGAACCGAAGAGCACACTAAGGGATTGCTAGAGTGTATGGTTTTCTCGTAGCCTGGTTTTCTCCATCTTGGTTCTCCATCTCGTGGTTTTCTACAGCTTGTGTCCAATCGAAGGCATACCCGATGGTTACGGAACCTGTGGAACTGCTGCGCAGCGTTCGTCTACAAATGCGTAGTAGCCAGGGAACATCCACGAAAGTTCAAGGAGACGCGTAAAGATGTTCAGTTTTTTTAAATAAGGTGCCATGAGGTGT